GGGGAGGAGGGGAGCTGGGCAGGGGCTCCTGGGGCTGATATTGCCAGGCTGCTCTGGGAGACCGTTCCATGTCCAGCACGGCCCTATTTTCCAGGGAAGCACTAAATTCTCCCGGGGACCCAGGCTTGTGAACTGTTCTGGGATCCCACTCTCCAACACAGCATTTTCCTGTGGGCCCTGGCAGTGTGAAGAGGACAGAAAGCTGCAGGCCATCCCATCCCTGCTTCACCCTGTGCGCAATCTGAATTCTAGACCTATCTCTAACTCAATACGTAGCATCACTCGACTCGCTCAGGAAGCATGAACAGTTATGTAGTGGACACACAGTATTGACGAGAACAAATCATTGACCTGTTGTGACCGAGTGTCACAGACACCTTTTCCCGCTACTTTTCATGGGTACAGAAAGTAATATTCCTGCCAGAATGTGTTGAACTTTTCCTCCCCTCCCTCCTCCCGCTGCCAGTGGCACTGCAGTGCACAGCCCAGCCTTTGCCGGACTGATGGGGTTTACCAGCAGCCCCTGTGGAAACGGAGAGTTTTCTTACCGTTCACATGAAAATTCTCCTTACATGAATCAACGCCAGTCGCCAGGGTGGGATGGCAGTAAATGAAAAATAGCCTTCTAGAAGTGCTTTCTGGGTTTATTTTGGTTAGTGGAGAGTTTCTTTTATTACGGTAAATTCCACTGTGCGAAATAAACTAATTAATTAAAACCTTTCCTCTTCCCAGACAGTGAAACACTTACGGACATATGAATTTAAACCATTTGTTATATTTATAAAGCCTCCGTCACTTGACCGTTTGAGAGAGACCAGAAAAAATGCCAAGATTATTTCAAGTAAAGATGATAAGGGAACTGCAAAACCCTTTACAGTAAGTATATTTAGACATGGTAAAACATGAGAACTTGTTAAGAGTTTTGTTGTAGTGGTTTACCTTGAAAATAAAGGTGATCACTGGATCTCATCAACAGTACTTGTCAGGGCTTACACATAGTATCTTGTTGTTTCCCAACCTCTCTCACATCGCAGATTTACTGTGGTGTTTTCATTGTTTGACATGCTCATTTACATTTCCGTGGTCCTCTGATTTTGTGTCATTGAAGAGCCCCCACAATGCAAGTATATTTTCATGAGAAATAATGCCGTGGATTTCCTTTAAAAAGTTTGCATCTGGGCTTAGATGTTTCTATTCAAGTACAAGAATCTCCATGTTTTATCAAGTGTATTATTGGGTCTAAATTTGGAGGAAAGCTCAAATATAAAGCATCAATTAAAATAGTAAATGCTACTTTAATAAAAAGCCCATATTTGTGGATAAGAGAAACAATTTTTTTAAATGTTACAGGGAAGTGAACACTGTAAGAAAGGAGAAAAATCTAAGCAAGTAACAAATGCTGCTTTTTGTCAATAATCAGAAAAAAATATTAGTCAGATTACCCAACAGTAACGTATTTACTTCCTTGAAATATAATGAAATCATATTTTAATTGAAGCTAAAGCAAAGCTGATTATCGTTAGAATTGTTGTCTACATTTACGGTGTGTATAATTTTCCCTCATTCAGATGTTATTTAGGATTTTTTAGATTTTGTTTCAAACTGAGTCACAGATACAGTTACAGACTGTATCTGTGTAGAACATGCATTTGAAATAGTTTGGCAATAATGCGCTATAAGAATACGTTCTATGGTATATAAAATATAAGAGGAGTTCATTCTTAAAAGCAACCTTCAGGACATTGCTTAGTTAGGACGGGTTTAATCTCTCTGAGTTATGTAAACAATTAAATTCCTACGATTTGTTCCCTCCCCAAACATGAAGAGAAATCCACTGAGCCAGGTTGAACCAGGCATAGGAGGACAGCTCCTACCAAGCTCTTAAAAGAATAAAGGCTGCACTGTAATATATCACATGCTAATAGCAAGCTGAGGCTTCAATAATGAAACTTTAAATGCATCATCAAAGTAAACAGCTAGAAACGTTTTCCACTGGCACTGCTAACAGAAAATGTCTCTGTAATTACCATGCAGTGACTAATCGTGTCACTGCAAGGGGAGAGATGAAAGAATTGCCTGTTGAGCAAAGTCTATTCGTGAGAATGCTCTCTGAGATCACCTGTAATGGTAATTTCTATTTTTTTTTTAATTAAAAGTACAGTTTCCATCTCCTGATGAGATGAGAAATAAGCGAGTAGCTTTGCATTTACCACAGAATGAGTTGACGTGATGTCGCTATGGACTGACTATGCCTTGCACTGATCTTACTAGGAAGAAGATTTTCAAGAAATGATTAAATCTTCCCACGTGATGGAGAGCCAGTACGGCCACCTTTTCGATAAGGTGATAGTCAACGATGACCTCGCTACCGCTTACAGTGAGCTTAAAACAACTTTTGACAGGTTGGAGACTGAGACCTTCTGGGTTCCCGTCAGCTGGCTACATTCATAATAACGTTTTAAATAGACAAAACATCTGCTGTTGTCTCAGCATCTGAATATGGGGCACGGTTAGGCATTAATTGATGGCCGTTTTCTTGGTAGGAGGGCTTTCTAACTCTACCTGAGCAGCAGGTACACTCTTCATGCACTCGGAACTGGTCTTGTTTTCCTGTGTCTTCAATCCTCCTGCCCACAATTTTGGGGCGGAACAGTCAGATTAAACCGAAGTCTTACTATGCTCCCTAAAGTGAGCGAATACTAGTGTAACAAAACTGCCAAACACCTCTGTATCATCATCTGTGTATTTCCAAGGTAAGCTTTTTTAACGGAGAGTTTGCAGAAGATACTGATTAATACTGGAGATCAGCACTTTGGTGGCTTTAAGCGTAACTCCTCCCATAAAGAGCCCATCAGCACTGGGAAGTTATTACCCCTTAAGTGCTTGAGAGAACTGAAACAGGCAAAAGCGACCAACATTTTTATGAGGAAGACATTGTAGTTTTAATTACGTATCAAGATAAGTGTTTTTACTTTTCTAGATGTGAACCTTGTCTTATATGTACAGAGTGATTTTAGTATTCCTTTGCACTTACATAGTCATGGAAAGAAAGATGTATTCAGTGGCTTAATTGTGAAGTACTCTGCTGTGAGCATGCATGGATTGAAAATATTTTCACGCATGCTTTGTGGCGCAACAAAGAAAACTCACGGGAATATTTATTTAAATAGGGAAAAATGTGAGTTACTATGTATATAACTTCAAAGTCTTTGGGATTAATCTTCTGTAAAATCAGTGGCAAAGTGATATGAATAGCAACAAAGTAGAGAGTAAATTTCAAACATTTTTGGCATCCTTTAGAACAATTTTCCCCATCAGAAATTTTCAAACAACTAGCGAGGAAACCTTGGAGATCTGGGAAGCAGTTGCAGGAGATTAATTCTTTTTGTTGTTCAGTATGTAGTGATGCTTTTTAGTAGTGTAACAGATATTTTGTCTCCACTCAAAAATAAATTAATGCTGTAGACTTCGCTGTAAAAAATATCCTTGTCACTGGTCAGACACAGTTGGAAACCTCATTTTAAAATTTGATGTGGCAGTGTAAGCAAATGTATATTAGATGATGTATTTTTAATATAGATAACTTGGTATTTTTCTTTATTTACTACTGATATGCAGGAAATGAGTACAGCTGTAAAGACCAAGTAACACCTGCGTGTTGTGTTGTGAATATGTCTTGTAAGTACAGAATGTGTATAGGAACTTGCTGACTTCAGATCACCCCATCTGTGGCATTCAAACAGGAAACCGGTATTTTGTGTTAATCTGTAAAGAGAATATAGCTGTCTTGTTTAAAGAAAAAAGAATTTAGTGAAACTTTATATATTTATGAAGGGGTTGAAAAGGGATGCTAAGTTTTTAAATTTCTTGTCAATGTGATCATTTACTAAGGAGATTACGAAGTCTGTAATTTGAAACACTGTCTCTGTAAATGGAGCTCAACATTCCATGTAAATATTTTATTTCAGTTCATATGCTGATAAAGCCATCAGATTTTGCAGTTTTATTCTAAATGCGGATTTAATGTGTGGGTCGTTGCATTTGGCTTAGAGTCGTATAAAATAAATGAAATGCAAGCAACAACAGCAAAATCCTTAGGAGTCTGGAAATGTTTATGCAAGAGTTACAGATGTACTGAATCCCAGTACGGATCCACGCTCTGCCTGAATAGCTATAATGTCACTTTTGTCGAATTTCACCGTTTTCCTGGTGGACTTAAACTTTTTTGTAACATAAATAGAAATTTGTTGATTCAGTTAATTTCATGGAGATTATGTGAGTTGAGAAAACGTTTTCTATTTTTTTTAATTACTGAAAATCAAACTATTTTTCAGGGGATCTGGAATTCAGCGGGTCTGTTCACCTTTGCCTGCGAGACGCCGAGTGCCCTCACCATCTCTTGCAACCAACCCAAACTTGAGAGGGCACTCGGCATCTCTCAGGATCTGGCCGTTTCCAACAAGAGGGGCTTTAGTCCTTACTGAAACACTCTTAACACTGCTTCTAACCTGGGCTGTCTCAGAACATTAGTGTACAATAACGCTCACATAAGGGACCTGCTTTTCTCTTCAAGAAAGAGATGCTAGAATAATCTGCAGACTCCCTGTTAGAAGCAGTTCTGGCTGTCCTGCAGGCTGTTTTTCTTGTCCTTTTGAAATTAATTTAATTCCCATTCCTGGGTCGGTGTGGTCTAGGAGGACCTTCTACAACAGGTTTGCTGTAGAGAGACACTGACCCTCTGATCCTCAGCACAGCCCTGGCTGGAGTTTCCTAGACGGATGGCTGCCTGCCCCGTCTCCACGCCAGGAGCTAATTCCTGAATTGTAACACCTGCAAAAGGAAAGGGAATCACAAAAACATATATCCAACCAACAGAGTAAAATGTGCACAGTCTCTTTCAGGAGTGAGAAATAGTTTTAATGAAATTACTGGATTGCTCTTGAAAATCAACATTATTGCAGTGTTAGCTTAAAAAAAAAAATCAAAACAAAACCAAACAAAAAACCCAAACGAAAATTGAAGCCTATGGCCTCCGTGAGGCAGGCAGAGATGATCACAGGTCAAGGCAGAAAAAATGTCTGAGCCCAACAGTTTCAACAGGACAGGAGCCTGCTTATCGTGATGGACACTGAGCCCATGTGCTGAATTGTTCTGGGATACCAAGGGGGGGCGGGTATTGTTCCTTTGACTCCTAAGAATTTGGGAACGAAGATGACTAAACATGTTTCCAATATTCCACGTATTCAAGTTGCGCTGTGTGGGTTTTTAGAGAAGTGTATGTTTTGACAGTCAAGTCCAGATGTTTTTATTGTGTTTTAGCTGTTTGCCATAGTCAAACAAATGGTAGTATTTTTTAATATTGTACCAAGCTCTATACTTGAATTTGCCATCAGGTCCTTGGTTGATGTCTTACCTGAAATCTGATCTTACCTTCTTATGCAAAACAATAAATTATTGATATATCACTGAAGGTGGTTTTTTTCTTTATTTTAAATTGCACCACAACATAGGGGCTTAATGACTTTAAAAGGTAAAATGCCTAAGTAGTAAGTTATTTCATAGGTCTCTCTATTAACTGTAATGCTCCAATTATCTTTAAATGGAAAAATAAAGCAACGTAGAACAAGGACTAAAGTTCTTAATTTTTCATTTTTGTTGCTGAATTATTCTTCAAAATAGATGTTTACCCTTTCCTGCAGCCCACCCCAAAATAAACCATTTTCTTTCTGAGAGGGAAAGCTTAAGTCAGTGCATCCAACTGAGACATCAGCTCTCCTGGGCTTGCAACAGCGTTTGGAGTGTTATCCGAGTTACTGACTTGGAGTCTTTCATCGGTCGCATATGCTCCTAGGCCACGCACAAGTCCCGTGGGAGGCTGTGTTCATTTGTAGGACTCAAAGAAGGTAATGCTTAAACTAAGTTACTCTTTGCATTGTTTTATGTCTTTTCGAAGAAAAAAAAGCCTAACACGTACTAGGATTAGAGAGAAGACTTTTAAGCCCCTTCTGTTTTGTTTCAGTGCAGTATTCTGCATTTCCCACATGTACTTAAGTTCAGGTTTCTACTGTGCGTGGAGAAGTTTTTCCTTGGTAAAGTTGGTATTTATTTTTTGTAAGATTGTTTCAAAGGATGAACAGTTTCTTCAGAGATTTACAGTTGAAGTTATAATCTGAGTCTATTTTTGCTACTGCGGTATCTACAGTCATTTCCCCACAGGATTAAGAGTTTTCTGTGTATGAATGCTTAAAATCATTTGTACTTGCAATTTGCCCAAGATCCTTTTGCTCTCAAAGTCACTAAGTATTTATCATGTATTACCATGATTAATGTACGATACCAAGCATTCAACAGAAAAATGTCTGAACAGAAAATTAAAGGAACAGAGTGGGAGTATTTGTTGTTTAAGAATTCTGGTGCTAGATAATGGTTAAAGGTTTCAGCAGAAACATACACAAAAACATTTGGAAACAGTTAAAGTCTGGTCTTAAATTTTGTCTTATGTTAAATGACAGTACAAATGAGAGAATTTGGAGTTCTAGACAGCTGGAGACTTTTTCCCTCTTGGTATCTGTGTCTGAAATACAAGTTGGATATTTGGAAGACTGTATGGAATGATTTTACATCTCTATAATAAAATACTATAGTATTTTGTGTAGCTGACATCCAGCATTTTAACAAAGAGGGTAAATCCTTGTGATTATTGAGACTTTGTTTTGCTTCTATTTTAGTTGTACACATATGTCTGTTCAAACAAATTTTTAAAGACTTAGTGGCATAAAGCTGCCAGCTACATATTTCAATATATGAATGGAGAAAAATATCTTCAGGATTTCGAAAAGGGCTCAAATGGCACAAACAGTATTTGAAAACTTCTTGATAAGAAATAAATAGAGAAAATTGGGTCACAATTTCTTTTGTAATTAGGTCTATTTCTTTTCAATAGTCGCATTAATAGTCACGACTTGAATATGCTAAAAAGCCAGAAGGCATGCTATAATTTTCCTCAAGCGAAATGTAGATTTGTGGTTTAACGAGGATGTTACAAGCTTTCTATAGGATCATACACAAGCTCATGGAAACTTAATTTTAAGGGATTCAGTACATGTTTTAAAGGCAGAGGGTCTGTAGGTAGGGCAGAGAAGGACTGAGAATGTTACAAATGCAAGTACTACCCTGGAAATGCATCTCTGTTTTTGTAAGTCTCTGAACAAGGAGGTTAGCAAGTTGGCTGCCAGTGTTCTGTGGTTTCCGTTCCCTCCTTGGTAAATATAAATAAGCACCAGTAAATCTTTATTGGTAAGCAAAGCCAAAGTTGTTGGAAGTATGGAGCGTTGAAATGTAGTGCCCAGAAGGCGTACTCCAGATCCTGGTGATGTTGGCAAAGCTGTTGCTTTACTTTCTTCTGATTTTGTTAACTTTTACAGCAAGAGTACAGGGATCACAGCTTTAACACAAACTCACCAAACTGGGTTCAATCATTGGCAATTTCATTCTTTTTTTCCTCTTGGCCCTTGTACAGCTTTAGTTTAGTAATCTCAGTCATACAAGGAGGGGGAAAGGGATAATTGACTCATCTCGAAAAATAGTGAGACGCCAAAAATCTGACACAAGGACGTTTCTTACTTCCCTCTCAACGGATGCTAGAGGCGGTGTGTTTCTGAAAGAAGGGGTGAAGAGCTAGCGTTTGATCCAGATGGAGAAGCACATGAACAGTGTTTTGTCCCATGAAAACAGAATAGCTCCGAGAGGTCCCTGTGGCCTGTTTGATACATGAGAGCAGCACGTGGTAAAAAAGGCTGGGAGCAATTTTAATTTTTATGCAGCCAGCGTTGGCTTCAGGGCTTCTTGTTTAAGAAAATGGCAACTGGGGGCGGTTCTGCTTGTTTTGTGTGCGACCTCTGGACGTTTCATGGTGTGTGTCCCCCTTTCCTAGATATGCATTATGGGCTTATTCTGAAGAAATGATGGTTCCCTGAAATTGGGCTAGGCTTCAAGCGGTGGGAGTAGTCACCACGTTTCATGATCAAGGCACACATTTATGATGTGGAAATTGCACAGATGGAAGCATGGGTTGAGACCACTCCAGAGTGCATGTAGGCCCCCCCCTATTTTACTCTCTCTGAGAGCTTTACATACCATGTATGGGTTATGCTTCCCCACCAAACCTACTTTGATGTAGCTTCTGGAGCCATACTCCCAAATACCGAGTGGCCTGTGTTAGGCACCATACGAACATGGAACAAAAACGTAGTCCCACGTTCAAAGAAGCTCACTAAAAAAGTCAGAGAGATGGCAGAGCGGTGCAGACCAGCAAGAAGGTGCAGAGAGATGCAGTGAGCACAACTCTTCTTACCAACCGGCACCAGAGGCTGTGCTGGCGTAACGGGACAGACACATCTGGGATTCAGCATCTCGCCGGAGGGTGAGGTGGTTAGGGGGCTTCCTGGCAGGGCTTCAGCCCGTGCCGGGTAGTGCCCAGGC